ATTTATTATAATTTTTAATTCATAAAAAATTTTAATTTTATTCTACTAAGTGTCTTTACAAACAAAAAAACAAAAAAAAAAACGAAATAAATTTTTAAAAATATGTTTTTTATATAATTTATTTATATTTTGTTCTTATAAGTTAGCTACTTGTATCAAATTTAACGAAATTTGGTCATTTCCAAATATGTATATCCATTTATCTTGACTAAGCTCCAACATAATGAATGGAATATTAAGATCATAGGCATAGGAATTCTGTATATAAATACTTGTATAATAATAATAATTATTATTTTTAATATCGGTCATTTAGCATCAGAGTAAGCCAACCTTTTTGAATATTTAATTAGTTAATAAATACATATTTGAAGAACTGGTCGAAAACTGTTCGTCGTTCCAATATTTTTACTTTGAGTGTAGATATGCAAATGTTCATAATTATTAGCATAAATTAATGATCTTCCAATAAATATTTATAAGCCACCGTTCCGACTTTATAATATTCGTTCATGCTACAAAATCAGCCGAAATTCCTTGTGTTATTTTATACAATGTTGACTTTTAAAGCTTTCCGAACTTACTTTCCCCGCCCCAGGAGGAGTCTGAAAAGTAAATCTTTAGAAGATATAACTCAATTTAATATATTTTTACAAGTAATATGTTTTGCACCAAGTCAGTTTCCTGTTCAGCTTACAAAACTTTACCGACAATTAATTTCTCTACAACCTTAACCTTTCCCATTCTTATTATACCTATAATAAAAAACCATTACCATCAGGGTCGAATTCGAAAAGCTTAATAGCTAGTTGCTGTTATATATTGTTTCATCTCGCCAGTTTCTCTCAGCAAAAAATGGCCCTTTTGAAGCCTGAAGTTCTTAAATAAAATCAACGCATAATGTGTTAATAATTTTAAATTTCAACTTTATTAAGTAACAAATACTTTAAACTAACGTTATATCTTATTAATTGTAATGTTAACTTTCTATTTCACATTTTGTATGCTAACGTAAAGTATACAACACGTTTGAATTCTTCACAAAATGAAATGTAGTGTAGTTTAAATGGCGCCCTGACTACAGTTTGCTGTGAAGTATAAACAGAATCAATTACGAATCGTCATATCATTTTACTATAGAAATCAATTTGGCTTGTATCGTGTTGGGAATATGTAGGTGCACATGCATATGCATATAGTAAATACATATGCATATGTATTCTAAGTATAAATAATATTTGTGCCTACGGGGTTTATAAACACGTTTTAAGTGCTTGCAAGAACTCGTGAATGATATATGTATGGTATGCGTATATGTATATACACATTTATAGCTTTAAGTAAATCATAAGTAACATAATTTATCAATTGACCTGTATGTCGTCTAATTGCTAATTGGCATTTTTTATATGATACGAATGAGCATGAGAAGGCATATCCCGACCCATTGGGGTTATTAAATAAAATGAAATATATTTTTGATACATTTACTTTCATTTCTTAAGTAAAACAAATGTCTTAACCTTCGGTTTACAGCAAATTATACATAATCATATAACATATAGAACATTAGAATAGAACCAATATTTAGTTTTAAAGCTCCATTTTTAATTTAAATAAATATTAAAGAAAACTGTTGCTCAATCAAAAAATTTCTTATTTCCCCAATGATCGATCTATCGTTTCGATTTCGATCACACACAAATGGATTATTTTTAAGCAGATATGCCTCCCTCTGCATTTGCCCAGACCCCGAATGGGTGAGAACAAATAAACTAAAAAAATGACTTTGTTAAAATATTATTAAATAATAGGAAAAATAAATATGTATTCTAGACTTTTTATAATTTGTAATACGTTTTGAGTATTGAATAGCTTTAACAGTACCGTTTTTCTACTAATATAGCCGTGCTAAATTTTCCTTATGTTTCAGACTAATATTTTCGATCAGAACTTAAAWATAATGTTAATGTTAATGTTAACGTTGTTTTTCGTTGATAAAGCGATGCATAGATAACAGAATTAGGTTTATAGCGACGAATTTAATTGATTTTTTGATTCAGGTTTAGAGAAACAGGAAAACAGAAACAGATCAAAAATAAATAGATTGAAAATGGTCTGTAAGGGTTTTAGACAGTATTGGCATAAAATCGCTATTGCGCAGGTCTACAGCGTCCGGCTGAAGTGCCGGAAAACTCCAAGTCCTTTTGCTCGATTATGGGAATCCGGTCATCGTACAAGGTTGGCGCTTGCAAGATGATGCCCGCTGTGCCCGCCAAGACAGCCAGTGTAAATATCCAAAGAAAGAGTCTATCCAATACCATTGCGACATACTTCCAGTCTTCTTTAACCTTCCGATCGCATATAAACAAAATAATATTATTAAATTCTATTTTTATTTTAAATATTTATTTGACAACTTACTTTAGTGGAATCCTCTTGCATTTTGGTATGCTCTGCTATGAAACGCACACAGAAACAACTGCGATGCACTCGAGGTGGGCATTTTGAGTGAGAAAAGGCTGGATTGTTCAATATTGGACTTTTAATTCCAGAATTTCCAGTATCTAAATCCGGGACGGCAGTTAAATCATCTGAGCTCGAGTGCGTTAGTTGAGGCAAGGGTCCATGGACTTGGCAACTGCCTCCAAAAGGTCCAGTGCTGGTTAAACTAAAAATTTTCAAATACATAAAATGAATACGTTATTAATTACTTAAAATATTTCCTCATATTTCTTCTATTTTCCTCAAAGTATTTTCTTCTACGTATTTCCTCAACATATTTACTCCAAGTCATTAGTGCTTAGCTAAACAATCACAGACTTCACTTCACTTTTCGCTATCCTGCTCGACTGACCCCACCAGGTCTGGGCGACTGAAGAAATGGAGCTGCTCCCCTTTATATAGGGTAACTTTAACTCAGTAACTAAGTCCCGCTCCAATGTTGAACCCGGTGACAGGTAGAATCATTGCAGTTGAGCTTTAACTGAGCAATGAGAACACTCTCGGCTGCACTCTCGCTGATAGACAGACTGTGAGGGCAGAAAGACAGATATACAGTCAGACAGATCTATAGCCAAACAAACCGGATTACCCCTTTACGCTACTCAAGAATATATAAGCTTGATATGGACAACTGTTTATCATGGGATCTCCTAGTCGAGCAACCCGACTAGAGTGATCTTTCTTGTAAAGTGTAAGTAAAGTACAAAATTCGATTTTGGAACTTTATGATTTAGGAAAAAAAATAATGTTCTTGAAAGACTAAGCCAACAAGACAAGAACTTAATGCATTTTGAGTCAAATAGACTTTAAATTACCTCTGCGTTGTTAATTCTTCCTTGGAGGCTGTGTGGCTATAACCCGAATTTACAAGGCGATCAATATTAGTTGAAGAGTAATACGGATAAAAGCATGCGTGAGCGTCCTTCAAAAGCAATTTGCTGCAATTTTTAACCAAATATTAATATGCATGACATTTAGATGCTTAAGATAATCTGAGTTGATATTATTTTTATAGATTATTTGCAATAAAAAAAAAAAAAAGCGGCTCATCAGAATTATCTTTGACCATTATTTATAATAAATGAATAAATAATAAATTAAGTAAATTAATTAATAAGTACGTAAGTAATATAATAAGTGAATATTAACTACTAGGATTAAAACCCTCTTTTTTTGGGCGGTGAGCGAATATTATGCAGTCAGCTGTGCGAAATTGCATAATAAAGTAAAAGTAATAAATACATATTTACCTTGTTTCA